CCAGGACTACCCCGGGGTCCTCAACATGTCCATGGCCCACCAGGCAGGGAAACCGGGGTTGATCGGACACCACCTCTACAGTCCGTACGGCCCCGAGCAGCCCCTGGGCCAGTGGAGCAACCCGGGCCCCCCACAGTACCCCCCCCCCTCACCACCTGACCGCCGACTACACAACGCCCACTGTGCACCATGGATATCACCATGGCAATGTGGCTGAGTGGAGCCAGTACCCTCTGTTCTCTTACTCGTGCTGGTGAAGGATCCAAGGTGATAAGTGACTGATACCGGTGCTGATCCGGGGGGTGCAACAAAAACTGATTTGAGAGAGGAAAAATATGAGAGCGGCCGGACGTCTCCAGACCGACAGGATGCTGACTGAAACCAAAGTGTGCTACGCCATGCTGTTTGATTGTTATTATTGTTAAATTGTCTATTTATTTTCTATTTCATCTCATCTCCAAGTTTAAATATTATTTTTGTAAAAGAAAGATTAAAACGTGTGTGCAATTTATGTCTGTCTTCAAATTGTGATGTGATCTGAAAATAAAAACCTTAAAGTAACAGGATCAAATGACTTTTCTGTGTTCTTTTTGAACCATTTGTATCTGTTATAAACTAAACAAAGGTAGAATATTATTTTAGAAGGCTCATACTGCAGCTTAATTAAATATAACTTGTTTTCTTATCTACTGAAACTACAACATTTTAAACATAGTTGAATGGTTTAATACTTTCCATTTCACGTAAGTACATTGAAATAAATGTATAGCATTATGTAATGCTCAGTTATCATCTCTAACACTTTAAATTCAACTGAAGTTTAAATCTTCCACTTAACCATGAAGTAGCACATTTCCTGTCTGTAGTTTAGTTTTTAGACTGTGTAATGTGGATCCAGCTAGTTTATTGAATTAGTGTATTGTGGCAGTGTCTTGTTTGCGGCTGCACATCTGCATGCTTTGTACCCGTCACCTCTGATAAGCAGCACGTCCTTTCGGTGGCATTTGTTTGTATTTCCTCTTTGTTGATCTAACGAGGGCCCCTCTGTAGTTTGGAGGGTCCCAGCAGGCTTTAAAGGGACTGTATTACTGTGACTGCGGGTCACCTGCTGAGGTTTACCCACCGGTATCATAAAGCCCTGCATGACTCTTGTTCTACATCTCAATGAGCCCTTCAAAAGCTTGAAAATGGGGGGCTGTTGACACCTTTTCACAAGCTCAAAAACACAGGCTGGGCCTATCGACTCCACCCTAGGTGGATATGAGCTGCTAATGACTGTTGTAAAGTCCAGGGGAGGAGGAGGAGGTCATCCTTCAGGAACGAGGCTGACATGGTGTAGATTTTACTCAGAGATTCATTAAATTGGAGGTTGCTTGGACCAGTAATACTTTTCCAACCTCAGTGACCCCAGCTGTTTGCACACAACTCATTCACTCATTTTAATGAGGATGGGAAGAGCTATATATACTGTATGACCTATACTTATATGTCTGTAGACTACGGCTGCTGTGTTAGGACGTCACTTGATGATGTTCAATTTCAGACTTATTGTTAGATCATACCTGAGGCCAGCTTTTCAGCAAAACAAAGATAATCATTATGTTAGGAATTGGAAAAATTAAACCATCAAAGACTGAACATCATAGAATTTTGCCCCAGGTTATTGTTAGGGATCATACACGGTGACTGATATGTGTTGCCATATCATTGCAATTATCATTTGTGTTTACAGATTATTTATCATCTAAAATATTTGTCATTAAAAAAACACTGCCCTGCATTTTAACTTGCTTAAAGCCAGACATTATGGTTTTATGGGGATTTGTTAGAGCCTGGTTCCACACCTGTAACTCAATTCATCATTCCTCAAATTGAACTTTAATGAGTCACTTAAACATGAATGAATAAAAAAGACACACATTCGCATTTTTTAAAATTACAAGGCAATATTGCTACACTATTCTTGTTTGGATAATCTCTCCCTGTCCCCTCCATATCTGTGAACAAACATGTGATGAACATTTACAATAAATGAATATTTTATAAACTGTCAGTGGCTGCTGCATCAAAGGGAATATTAGTTGGTTTAAGGACAAAGGGCAGTCGTTTGAAAGAGGGTTTTTTTAGGGGAACGGAACACTTTCTAAAAGAGGTAGGATAGGATAGCTGCTCCTTTTTGGTTAAATGCCATCTCCAGATCATGTTATGCTGATGCTATTTGATCTTCTATTCAGTGGTTCTCAAACTTTTTTCAATAATGTACCCCCTTTGAAAAATAAATGCAGCCAAGTACCCCCTGATCAGCGCCAAAAAAATTGTTAAGGAAAAAATGCCTATAAAGAGGTACAGTACAGCGCTGCACCATCGGTGTCTGATTTATTATAACAACAACCTTGTAACTGAGAAACACTTAAATGCTACATTTCAAATGTTTACAATCCATCACTAAATTCATGGAAAACCAATTTTAACATCATGCAATAACACTAAGACGACATTAGTTGCATTGAACTGATCTTTTCAATAAGTTGTACTTACAATTTAGTGAGAAACATGGGCTTGTGCTTCACTGAGGATCTTTGTCATGCTGACAGGGAAAACATATATGAGCATTTTATGAGCATGGGATTTTGACCCCTCCTATAAACATATGCATAATGCTGCGCTATACTTTGCGGCCACACGCCGTTGCCAGGCAACGCTTATTGTTTAGGTCCTTTGATAAGCAGGCAGTCATATCATTAACTAGAACTAGCTAGATCTGATAGATTTGGACATAAACGCGAGTGAAGTCTAACCGGACGCGAGAGAGAGATCAGAGAACAGATCAGCTGCTGCTGACGGAGAACACGCAGCTCTGCATGATCACAGCTCGTCCGCTGTGACGGACCGTTGAGTGGAGCAAAATACACTAAGAGTTAGACCTAACACACTTAGCTAGTTTATCTACTCTGGAACAAGCTAAACTAGTTATACATATATTTATTATTTACTGTCGGGTCACTTATTACAGGTTCAGCGAGCTGCACGAGCCTGACGAGCTGTCAGGAGAGGGAGAGGAAAAGAGAGCACCCCGTTTATTGTTCCCATTTTATTATCCAGAATTACTGTAAACTTTTGAAGAAAGTAGTTAATCTACTATTAGTAGTTTGTTTAAATGCATTAATTACTTTTTTTGTTTCATTAACATAAAATAAATCTCACGTACGTACGTACGCCCTGCAGTAGCCTACTCCAACGTACCCCTAGGGGTCCGCGTACCCCCATTTGAGAACCACGTTATGTGTTACATTGGTGCACAACAGGTTGTACTCACTGTCAGTACATGTATGAAATGTGATGTAAGGTAAAGACAAAGCCACTGTCGTCACAGGGTCAGGGGTGCAGCTTCCTACCTGCTCTAATAGATGTCCAAGAGGAATATTGTGTGTATTGTCAGCTGGAGAAAAACAGCCTTTCAGTCCACAGGTGACTTCCTGTGTCCTCTATTGACTTATTGCACCTCCTGCTCTCCCACACAGCAGGAGAAATACGAATGAAAGTGAGCACTTAGTAAAATTCCCTCGACACACACATCCTCAACTCCACTGGGTTTAATCTGCATAGCTCCACATCAATGGTTATTGTGGACCTTTTATTTGCTCTGTTAATAGTCCAGCAAAGAGCAGCTCATCGACCTGCACTCAGAGGCCAGTAACAGGGGTAAGTGCATGACATATGTCCTGAGAATCCTCCGGGTGGTACTGCAGCGTCAGAATGAAAAGACGCATAAAGGCAGCAGATTGTTGATCCTGGATGTCCGCTGCTGTCAGCACATCCCACCAGACAACTAAGAGGGGGCTGGCACTGTAGTGTGAACAAGAGAGAGGGGGGGTAGGGGGGGGGGGACACTCACTTAGGGCTGGCAGGGGGTAACAGATGTAGATGAAACAGCCTCCGAGAGGAAAGCAGCAGTCAGCCTTCATAAAGCTGATGGAGCAGAGGGCCAAATGGAGAGGAACTGGGAGAGACTGGGAGGAATAAAAGACATGAGCAACGACAGGAAGACAGCCATCAGGAGACTTCTATTAAAACAACACTAACGTTGATTAAAGAGAACACAAGTTCTAAACCCCGGCTAGGGACTCATCAAGGCTTCTAGCAACACCAAGACCCCCACCCCAAGGTGCTAGAGAAATGTTTGAGTTTTACATTTTTATTTCAGCCAAGGACCCCTAACAAAATAGAATATACTCAGCCTCTCTTGCCCTGTGGAATAATTAGATGTAGCCTATGATGAAAAACAAAAGATGAATGTAAGGGAGATGTAGGGCATCTGCAGATTACAAGGGTTATTTAATTGTCGGGTAAGCATAATAACATTACAGGGTTTTACAAAATATTTGTTAAACTTTGAAGCATTTAAAAAAAAATATAAATATGTATAATATTTGAATATATATATTATACATATTTTTTCTTTGTATTGTAATGTTTTTTAATGCATATGTATGTCAGAGTGGCCTGACCCCACTTTAAGAACCTAGTCCAAGATTATTTTTATTTACCTGGTAGGCGGTTCATTTAAGTGTCCTGAGTTTTATTTAAGTTAGGCAGTGATGTCAGGGAGATTTCAGTAGAAATTCTTAAAAACTATACACAACTGTCTGCCTGTTTTTTTCTGTAAATCTCTGTTCAAAGAACTTATTCCAGGAAACAGTTTTGTAAACAATTAGCCAATAAAGTGAAACATTGCCATTGTATTTGTTTAACGTGATGCCTAAAAGGTGTTCCAAAGTTCTCTATAGCGCTGCCAGAAATACAATTGTGTTGGAAAAATAATTAGCTTGTTGAAATAAAATAGTCAAATAGCTTGAAATTAATAAACACCATGTGACTTTAACGCTATGACCCAAAAACATGGCAAAAGAAATACATATCTACCTTTACTACATCTCAAAACCTATGTCATGAATGTTGTATTAAGATTGCATATCTTGTGTGTGTAAAAAGCATTTCTCTTTCAGAAGGAACAGACTCGCACCTGGAGTTTTTTAATGACAGAAGTTAAGGATTCACAGAAGCTTCTTAATGTTTGTAATAAACAGCGTACCGAAAGAACTGAGGCATGGAGCAAAGCTGGACTGAGTGGATGGAAATATTTTCAAACCTCTCCTCATTGTGCTCTTTGGACTCAGTACCAGAATCATTTATACAGTATGGAAGATCATCAAAAGGACTTTGTTTCACACACAAATCAAGACTCCCTGAATCATTCACAGACATGGCAGCATATTGTGAGCTGCACTCTACAACCTGGAAGCGTTCACTAGTCATGTTCAAGCATTATTTAAACTAATAACGATGCTAGAGGCACAACAACTAAGACTCAACTCCATCCACACATTATATTGAAACATAAAAATAATACACAACACAAGTTGAGGATCCACAGAAACAAGGCACAACCTAAGGGTTACTCAGTAGTTTGGATGAGAAGATCATTTCAGTTTCTGCCGATAACCAGAAGCTGCAAGAAGAATTACAGTTTGCATATTTGAGAAGTCTTTTTGAACTCTCTGTGGTTAACAATTTAGCTTAAAAGTGCTGTAAATATCTGAAGTCTAAAGCCAATTCAGGCCATATATATATTAGCATATTATTGCACAGCCAGTGGTCTTGACTGCCTGCTGTATATTTAAGATATTGAGGTTTTCTCTATGACAAATAAAGAGAGCTAATAAAAAGGTAGCTACAAGGAAAATCTAAAAATGAGTTTTTAGTGACAGTGATTCATGGGCGGAGCATGATTATCTTAAAAGATATTTGCAAAATAACAAACAGTGTGCAAAGGTCCCGAGTGACTCTTTGGTTCAGAGGCACTCAGTGATCGACGTGCAGGAAGGACCCGATGCTGCGCAAAGAAAACCCCCCCAGGTACTTTAACATGCTGTGTAAGAAAAAGTGCATGATAGCGTCCAGTGCTCAGACAAACAGCTGCTTCAGTCCTCACTCGAGTCCTCCGAGTTGTCCATTTCCACGTCTTCCCATGATGCCTTGGTGCGCTGCTCCCAGCTCCGGGCCTGAGCGATGACAGCGGGGGGCATGAGCACCACGCAGGCTGCCAGGCCGGAGACCCGCTCCTTAAAGTCCGCCTCGCCCTCCCACTCGTCTGCGTCGCTGTTGAACACGTGGATGTATTTCATCCTGTTGCCTTTGTCGTGAGAGCGGCCCCCCAGGACGTAGATGCGACTGTCCAGCACGGCGATGCCCGGTTCTCCGTGTCCCGCGGGGAGGGGGGACATTAAAGACCAAGAGTTGGCCTCAGGGTCAAAGCATCCCACCTGAAAAAAACAAAAGACAGGAAACAAATGAATTTCCATTTCATAACATTTCTGTCCAAACAGTTTAACCTCGGTCAAAAAGAACAGCTCGGATTGTATTCTTATTTATTATAATATTTCACTGAGCCAACACCAAGAAAGTCAACACTAATATTATTTGTATTTGTTTGTAAGATTAAAGAAAAATGTGTCTCTCAAAAAACAGAACATGTTGCTGTCTGCTAATACAGTGAATACTACTACTGCACTAAGACTTCATTCCTTTTTCATCCAGATATATTTTTCAATAACCTTGTTCTTTTTCTTACCTCTAAAAATGTATTTACTTGATACTTAAAACTAAAAATTAAACAAGTACCAACATTGTGTCTGATTTTCTTATTTAATTGATCTTGTCCGATGAAAAAACATAAACATAAAAAACCCAGCTTCGGCTATAGTAAAACCCATGATGGCTGAACTAGCTTTGGGGCATTGGACACATAAACAACATTTTAATATAAAATCAAATGGAAAAGGACACAAGAAATATGTCATAGGCAAGAACTTAACTTAAACTTTAAACTGAGCAGAACAACACTGCCCTCATTGTGCAGCATCAAACACCCCTGACGACCTGAGTCTCACCTTCAGGACATCACGCCGGTACCCACGCTCATCGTTGCTCCCCCCAATCACATAAATGCGTCCGTTGACAGCCGTCATGCCGTGCCACGCGCGCTCCACCGGCCCCTCAGCACACGCTGACCAATGATTGGCCCCAGGGTCAAAACAGTAGGTCTCTTTGAGGTACGCATTCCCTCTGCGCCCGCATGAGATATACATTTTCCCATCAAGCACTGCTCCAGCATGGGCGTAAACCTGGAGGAAAGGTCAGACTGGTATTAAATTGAGTTAAAAGAGGAGGGAAACACCTGGTTTATAACAGAAAACTCCATTAGGACTACACAGGCGGGGAGGTAGCACCATCATGTGGATGGTAGGAGCATTACATGCATGTTTTCTATCGGCTCTTTTTCCTTACCTCTCTCTTCAGGGGTGATACAAACTCCCACATGTCAGTGTGTGGGTCGTAGCGCTCCACTGACTCCAATTCGTTGCTATAGTCCCGTCCTCCAATGGCATAAATATGGCCGCCCATCACGCAGACACAGTGGTCAGCATGCTGCTGCTGCAGAGGGTGGATCGCGCACCATCTGTTGTGACGAGGGTCGTACCTGGGAACAAGCATCAACACAACTTTTGAAATTCAATCTGCAGCGAGAAGTTTGTCCAATCAAGCATTGAGAATACAAAATAGATTTGTTGTGGAATGTTTTATGCCATGTTCAACACCACCAAAAACAACCCATTACATTTTGTGGATCTGAAGAAAAAAGTCATCTTAGTTGTTTATTGATTCATTTTGATAGTGAATTTAAATGCCTCACGAACACGGGTTCCAGCTTCTGAAATGTGAGGATTTTCTGCTTTCTGTTTACTTTGACCAGTGTAAACTGAAACAGCTGCTCAGACAAAGCATGCAATCTGAGAACATGTCGACATTTCAAACTATTGTCTGACATTCTACAGACTGAAGAAAATCAACAAATCAGGTGGGCTTACATAAGAGCCAATATTAGCTTATTGCAAATACACCCGTATCTGCAAATGTGTCAGACTGTCGGACGATATGTAAAGAGTGATTGTAGCTCCAGTCAGGGACGCCATATACGGTTTGTCCACTAGAAAGGACTGGCTTAAGTTTTAGCTGTAAAAGGTTCTGCTCAATACATATTATATATTAATTATACACTACAACTAATCGATTACTTGATCTTATTGAATAGTTTCAACTGTAAGACAATAAACAATAGTGGTTGGTGGAGAATATCCATTTATATAACAATCAATATTCTAGGTAATTGTCTACAAATGTACCAAGATATTTCTTCTGACGAACAGATATCCTAAAAAAGGAAAAGTCACACCAAAGACCAATTTAGAAGTTTAAATTGCCAAGATTCTTGGAAATAAAGAAGGCAGCTATCCTCAGCCTAAACGATTTGTTTATTTAACAGGCAGCATCTTTATTTGTTGTAAGATTTGAACTCTGAACTCTTAAGATGGCTGAGGACTTTCTTGTAGTGATGCTAACTTTGCACAAAGTAAATAAATAAATGTTACCTTTTGTCTTAGGTTTGACTTTGTGTGTTTACAGTTTTGCAATCAGTTAATAAACCTTTTTCAAATGTAAAAACTACAAAACTTATAGACTTTTTACTCTGCTTTCACTCCATCATTTGCCACAATGCCTCTACTAGCACACAGCAGACTGGAGTAGCTCCTGAAATTAGCAACCTTCTGAACTGTAATGAGAATTGATTTTGAACCGCGACCCCAAAGACGTGAAAAGAGATGAATTCTTACCAAAAATTACCATCCCTAAACAATAAAAACAAAATTGATGAAGTGAATGAGTGTACGTTAGGGCTGCACGATATTGGAAAAAACTGACATTGCGATATTTTTTTCCCCCCTGCGATATATATTGTGATATGAACAAAATACAGGAATTGAAGAAATTACAGTTTTTTTTGTCCGCAAACCATTCTTTCTTGAACTTTAATGCTATACAATTGGTATTTTTCTAACTATATTTAACCGGATGAAGGATTTTAGTCACGGACGTCTGGATCTTAAAGGGGACCTATCATGCAAAATGCACTTTTGTACGTCTTTTATACATGAATATGTGTCCCCGGTGTGTCAGGGAACTCACCAAGTGTCAGAAAACACAACCCTCTCTCTTTTCCTCCGTACCCAAATCTCTAAAAATGGGGCTACAACAGATCAGATACAGACTGATACAGATTTGAAATATCTCTGACGTCAGAAACGAGGAGCTCCGCCTATATGGGCAACTCTCCACCTATCAGGGGATAGGTGCTTGCTACAAAAGGAAAACTCGCGCGACTCTCATGTCAGGGGTGCTTGAGTGAGTGACATGCAGGCTCTGCATGCACAGCCAAGCAAACGGACCCGGTGATTAAAGGTAAAAACACTGAATAAAGTAGTTTCATGTGTTTCTCCAGGGCAGTTCGGCGCTGCTAACCGAGCTAGCTCAGCTTGTTGCTCTGATAACTTAAAGTGGACCTATCATGCTATATTTGAATAATATATTGAGGGCCATACCTACTGTATATAAAACATGTCTGTGAAGGTTTTGTTTTGAAAATACCAAACAGATCATGCATTTTAGCCATGCCTCATTTCGCTCTATTTGCTCTTTTCCAGCCCTGTCTTGACAAGGGCTGATTCTGTGGCAAATGAGCTGCAGCTGACCACGCCCCCCTGCAAAGGAGGGGGGCGACGCACGAGCGTCATGTTACCATGCTGTTACCATGCTGTTACCATGCCACGGCAACCCCCATCGCGCACCATCTGTTGTGACGAGGGTCGTACCTGGGAACAAGCATCAACACAACTTTTGAAATTCAATCTGCAGCGAGAAGTTTGTCCAATCAAGCATTGAGAATACAAAATAGATTTGTTGTGGAATGTTTTATGCCATGTTCAACACCACCAAAAACAACCCATTACATTTTGTGGATCTGAAGAAAAAAGTCATCTTAGTTGTTTATTGATTCATTTTGATAGTGAATTTAAATGCCTCACGAACACGGGTTCCAGCTTCTGAAATGTGAGGATTTTCTGCTTTCTGTTTACTTTGACCAGTGTAAACTGAAACAGCTGCTCAGACAAAGCATGCAATCTGAGAACATGATCAAGTAATCGATTAGTTGTAGTGTATAATTAATATATAATATGTATTGAGCAGAACCTTTTACAGCTAAAACTTAAGCCAGTCCTTTCTAGTGGACAAACTGTCGGACGATATGTAAAGAGTGATTGTAGCTCCAGTCAGGGACGCCATATACGGTTTGTCCACTAGAAAGGACTGGCTTAAGTTTTAGCTGTAAAAGGTTCTGCTCAATACATATTATATATTAATTATACACTACAACTAATCGATTACTTGATCATGTTCTCAGATTGCATGCTTTGTCTGAGCAGCTGTTTCAGTTTACACTGGTCAAAGTAAACAGAAAGCAGAAAATCCTCACATTTCAGAAGCTGGAACCCGTGTTCGTGAGGCATTTAAATTCACTATCAAAATGAATCAATAAACAACTAAGATGACTTTTTTCTTCAGATCCACAAAATGTAATGGGTTGTTTTTGGTGGTGTTGAACATGGCATAAAACATTCCACAACAAATCTATTTTGTATTCTCAATGCTTGATTGGACAAACTTCTCGCTGCAGATTGAATTTCAAAAGTTGTGTTGATGCTTGTTCCCAGGTACGACCCTCGTCACAACAGATGGTGCGCGATGGGGGTTGCCGTGGCATGGTAACAGCATGGTAACAGCATGGTAACAGCATGGTAACAGCATGGTAACATGACGCTCGTGCCTCGCCCCCCTCCTTTGCAGGGGGGCGTGGTCAGCTGCAGCTCATTTGCCACAGAATCAGCCCTTGTCAAGACAGGGCTGGAAAAGAGCAAATAGAGCGAAATGAGGCATGGCTAAAATGCATGATCTGTTTGGTATTTTCAAAAAAAAACTTCACAGACATGTTTTATATACAGTAGGTATGGCCCTCAATATATTATTCAAATATAGCATGATAGGTCCACTTTAAGTTATCAGAGCAACAAGCTGAGCTAGCTCGGTTAGCAGCGCCGAACTGCCCTGGAGAAACACATGAAACTACTTTATTCAGTGTTTTTACCTTTAATCACCGGGTCCGTTTGCTTTGCTGTGCATGCAGAGCCTGCATGTCACTCACTCAAGCACCCCTGACATGAGAGTCGCGCGAGTTTTCCTTTTGTAGCAAGCAGCAAAATAATTGTAACATGACGTGTTTGAGTTATTTGCCTACTTAATATCGCACGTCCTAAAATTATTTATTTTTTTAATAAAAAAATTGCACGTCCTGCGACGTGAATATCGCGTATGCGTATATCGCGATTCTCGTCACAACACGATATATCGTGCAGCCCTAGACGTGGTGATCCTAGATAGAACATAATTTAAATCCATCAACAGAATAAGGGAGATCTCACCTCCAGCAGCGGGTCTCTGCGCGGAACCCACTGGTGTTCTTGTCTCCTCCGATCAGATAAACAAAGTTGTTGAGCACCACGATGCCCTGGTTGGACATGCGGGGGCCGTGGTCTGCAGTGAGGGTCCTCCACTCACCCCAGCTGGGGTGGAACACCTGGAACAAATGCTCGTTGTCTGTGAGGGAGCTGGAAGTGAACATCCCCCCGAACCCCAGTATGCAGTGGAAGGTGGAGCGAGGCTGGGTGAGGGGGGTCTGCAGGACGGGCTGCCAGACCTCCTGCTCATGGTACCGCAGGGCGGAGGACACACAGTCCTTCAGGGGACACTGGTTCAGTCTGCCGTACAGACGCTTCAACACTTGTTTCTCAATCAGGCAGAAACGCACAGCATCGATCATCTTCAGATTGTCCTTTGGGTCAGAAACATCATAAAAAGGTTAGATTGGTTGAGAACAGCAACCAAAACCTATCTTTTTAATATGGCTTTTAATTTGGGTTAACTTTCAATTCTCACTAGTATCATTGTGCATGTTTTACTGTATTTTTTCCGTTTTGCTTTTATTTTACATTGTTTTATTTTAACCTATTTGAATTTCTTAGGATCACTAGATGTTTTATCTTGTTCTGTATTTATTTTAATATTGTGTTTATGTTTTCTGTAAAGCACTTGGGGCTGCTTTGTGCATGAAAAGTGCTATACAAATAAAGTGTATTATTATTATTAGATTGCAATCCAAGCAGATTAAGCTTTGTGAGTATCTGATGGAAATGATAGATGAGTACAAAATGCAGGACACACCTTAGGACTGACCTGCAAGTACACCTGGTCAGTTTCCACCTGCAGGGGACTGTAGTGGAAGTGCAGCGCCGCCTCGTACGCCTCGTTCTCGCTGTTCACCTGCAGCTCGTCACTGCTCAGCGCGCTGAACACCACGTCCTGGGGGAGCTGTCGGTACACGTCGGTGCGGGACAGAGTCTGGATGTTCCTGAGCATGTAGGAGTGGACCCTGGCACTGAGCTGCTGCAGTCCGTACAGATCTGCCAGGTTATAGACCTCCAAAATGTTGCTCTCGTCCAGCCAGGAGAAGAGGAAATCGCAGCAGAAGCCAGTGACAACCTCGAGCTTTAGAACACAAAGGGACACAGGTAAGGTGAAGAAAAAAGAAAAAATGTGATTAAGCAAGAGATTTTTTTAAGAGTTTACCTGTACTAACGTGGCAGCTATCAGGACTTCCTGCACACACTCCAGGTCTAACTCAATCTCCGAAGTGTAGATGTAGTCCAGTATTTTTGTCATGGCCATGAAAGTGACTCCATGAATGGGGATCTCTTTTTGCTGCGTCTCCCGCAGGCCTCCAGCAAACATTCCCCTATCGGAGAAAAGACACACATTGTTTAATATAAGAACTGTCCAATAAAGATACACATATGAGTAGAAAACGTTTATGTTAGGCCCAAAATCAATTGAGAAAAGGTGTATGTACTCTATCCAAACCATACAACACATCTTTGTTGAATATACTTTGCCTCAGTTGTTTCCCTTAAACTGTGAATAAAAGGCAGAGTCAATACAGTGAAAGCATCTTTGTAAAGGGAAGTTAGTGATCTATCTGTAGCTGCTTTTAGCATTTTAATAGGATTACAGAGCAACAGTAGGGCTCTGGTTTAATGTCACAGTGCAAACTCCAGAGTAAAGACTTCCTCCACCCCTGCCAGCACAGTAAGCTCCAAACAAATTAGAATAATACTTGAGTTCAAATCCAACACACCTATCTGTCCTCATCGTGTGAGCTGCTGGCTGACTGTGGATCAGGGATTGTACCTCTGTGATGTCATCTGTCTACAAAAGCTACAAGTGAAGGTTTCAAATGCTAAATCATTCATCCCTTCTGCACTCAAACTTTTAAATTCTTGAAAAGGCTTTTAACTTGATTATTTATTTATTATTGTGATGCTTTGAACTATTTATAGTGTAAATTAGAATGATTCACCTCTGTGCTCCCGGGTGTATCTGTGTGTTTTTCTTCCTGTATGTTCCTGCCTGTGTACATGACATAAGCTGCTGCTCATAACCAATTGCCCCTTGCGGGATTAATAAAGTTGTTGATTGATTGATTGATTAACACATTAACATGACATATAAAGTACAATTATTGAACGTGTCACACCTAATCTTCAGGTAACAGGGCACTCTTATTTGCACACAGCAACACACTGCACATAGTTGTCTATATGATTGTGATGTTATGTTAAATGTTTGTTTTTCTTGTATTGTGTCTTAATATTTGTCCTTGTTGATGTTGCAAATGGAGCTGCTGTGATGCAAGTCAAATGTCAGACTTTATCAGACCATTAAAGTACTATCTTATCGTATATAAGACACATGAATGTCACATAAAATCTCTTGTTTTCCATTTCACAACACTGGCATTCAAAAGGCAACACCCATGCTACAAGCCAAGCCAAGTCATTGTCCAATCTTCTTTTAGGATGTAAGTAGACGCTATAAAAAGACTACAGGCGAGTAACTGTTTACAACCACAATGGAAGCAAACAAAGCAGTGAAAGGCCTGTTTTGATTTTCAGTAGCAGTAGAAACACTTTAACTCGTGCTTTCTTTTTGTGTCCACACATTTTCGTAATTTACTATATTCTTTTACAAACGTTTGGAATGTAGGGATGTTTTGAGATATTTTACAATGTGGAGAGGATAATGTTTTCATCAGTGTGCTGCAGGGCTGCTCAATTAATCGTATTTTAATCGCAATTACGATTTTGGCTTGCAACGATTATGAAAACAACATAATCGAAATAAAACGATTTTTAAAAATTATTATTATTATTAAAATATTATAAAAAGAAAACAATTTGTTATTTTTTTTATTGGTTTTTCAATTGAATAATACTTAAAGTTCAGGGTAATCAACTGTTAAAAACATACTACACCTTTTTCTTTTTCAATAAATTGATGTTTTCAAAGTAAATGGATAATCGTTTTTAATAATCGTGGTTTTTGCCATAATCGAGCAGCCCTAGTGTGCTGTACGCCTCTGTTAGATTGAGCACAGCAGAGTGTAACTGGTTCAAAGACCAGGTAAACCAAGTGTGTTGGATTATATAGAAGGAAGTGTTTCATTTTGATAAAGATCTAAGGTCTTTTGCAACCTGTGTGTGTGGTTTGTGTGTAGTGTTTTGGAAAATGAGCCCTGTTTTTAAATCATGCTCAAGCAATCATTTAAAAAAACTGCACTGTTGGTCTTGATGGAAGCATACAAGTAAGAAAGAAAGGACAATTAAACACAAACAACAAAGAAACACCTAAAGTGTGCACACCACTACTGATCATATCACAATGTAGATCATCTGCAGGGATTTTCTTTGAACTGGACTCTGCACCGGGTCTTTGCTGCAAATGCATGATTTGATTACAATGTAGAAGAATGTAAATACAGTAGATACATTCAAATTTCTATAAAGCAACTTGAATTGTAAAGCATTTACTCTATTCTGTCCATCAGTGGTGTACATATACATACTGCATGTATCTGCGGATTTGCTTTGAGTCAGAGGTGGGAAGTAACTTAGTACATTTACTCAAGGGCTGCATTTTTACAATTTTGAGATACTTGTACTTTTCTTGAATAGTTCCATTTCATGCTACTTTGTACTTTTACTCCACTACAAAAAAATGTGTACCTTTAGTTACTTTGCAGATTTGGATTAATGATGTGAAATAAAACCAACACTTAAATAAGATTTTAGTTAGCAACCTACCCTGCAGTATACAAATTAATTGAAATTATTTACCAGCTTTAATAAACACATTAATGCATCAATGATTATAATGAAAACATATAATATATATTATTCTGAAATTGACCAATTTGCATAATAAGTAATTTTACTTGTGGTACTTTAAGTATATTTTGATCCTAACACTTTTGTACTTTTACTTGGGTAACATTTTGAATGCAGGACTTTTACTGATCTAAAGCTCTGAGTACTTCTCCCACCTCTGCTTTAAGTTACTCATAAAAGGAAGTACAAATAAAGGAAGCAATGAAACTGCAACAAGGAGACGATTGCTGTGGGGTTTACCTAAAATAATCGCAGGAGGCAGCCAGCAGTATGCGGTGGGCTTCGATGGGCCGGCCCTCCACCAGCAGCACCACGTCGAACAGCACGGCGCCCTGCCGCAGCGCCAGCAGGCCGTCCAGCAGGCTGCGGAAGTGGGCTGAGCTCCTGAAGGTCTGTCGGCCCCGGCGTCCTCCTGTCGGGCTCAGCTGTCCCTGCTCAGCCATGACAGGGTACGGATGTTCCGGCTTCATCTCTTTTATCTATCTAGTTTTATAATTGTAACTGTTTCTTCCCATAATTGTTACGAAGAACGCTGCTTTCCGGATTGAGGATACAGAAAGAGGAAATTGGACACCTAGCAGAGGGGTGGTTACGGTGTCTATTTTAAGGATACTGCTGTATGCCAAGTTTTACACGCGTTGTACTAGTCTACCAGCTATAATAAATAACCTAAAGGGTATAGTTACATAAATATGCCCTTCTGTCGACCTGACACTACACTGTCAGCTTAAACGTTAAATAATATTAGCAAGTAAGCTAATTTATCTAGCCTGTTAGCTGATGTAACGCAATATAAAAACAGCCTTCTTTAAAAAGGATACCAACGACTACACGAAAATATCCCCGTGTTCGTCAATGAAAAAAAACATTTTACATTGGCAGTTTGGTCACAAAGCAAACAAATCCTTTTTGGGAATGGCTAGCTTAGCCACAGTCGCCTGATTTTTTGACAGATCAAAACAAGTGTGTTTACTTTTTGGTGTCAGACAGTGAGCTCACACTCTATTGGATGTTACCGTCGTATTATCCCGCCCAGTTTCTAAGAAAGAGCCAATCAGAGACGTTCTTCACACTGCAAGGCCATCGTGTCAGTATGTCTTATAACATTGTAAGGTGTTTAAAATGTGCTCTGTACAGTATTATATTTTGTAACCCTTCATTTGGTATCTGATTTTTTTAGATTAATAAAATTAGTATTTACAGTAGTTTGACAAATGTTTTAGATAATGTGACTCTTCCTGTAAACACCAGAGGATGCTGTTTATTCTCTAAAAAGTCTTAAAGGCTATGTCTATGTCTCTGCTGTCACACATCATGTCATACATATACACCAGCAACAGATTTTGAAAGCGGTTGTGTATTTACTCTGTACTTTATGTTGTGAGACACTGGATACTTGCATGTTTCTTTAAGTTTATACCTCTACTCATTTGCAGTGATATTTAATGGACATATTTTCTTTTCATTGCAGTTTTCAATGGTTCCAGTAACTAGTTATTACACAGACTGATTAACTCACCACCCTAGTTAGGCTAACTATCACCTGAACCAGCGACATAATGCATGCATGTATATTATTGCAATATGAATTACACATTTTAAAATGTCTTCTTTCAAAGTATTTCAGGTCATATTTTATCATTGAAAACACAATTCAATCTTACTTTTATTCCATTACATTACATGTTAGACGCTTTTATCCAAAGCGACTTACATACTCAATATGTGGGCAATCCCCACAGGAGCAATTTTGGGGTGAAGTGTCTTGCCCAGGGACACAACGACATGCTGACTGCAGTGGGGTTTGAACCTGTGCTCCCCTGATCCCAACACCAACACACTAGTCCACTGCGCCATTCCCTCATATATAGGACTTAAAGTTGTAATGGAGTACATGTGACTTATTTCCTCCATTTGTCCAAAATAAGTGTTCATCTTCGTGACCGTATTTATTGAATTGATAATTGTTGTCCCTCTAATATTTGGTCTCAACCCGAATGCTTTCAGGATTGATTTTCCACTGCTTGGTAACTGCATGAGCTGCCACATAGATGTTATAATGCAGCCAGTCAGGCTTCTTGTCATGAGGCTTCCATATTGCTCAGGTTTTACAATCTCATTCATCTTCTGCCGAGGTTTCAATTTGCATATATCATTTTCTGACACGGAGAGTAGAGATTTTTCCACACTGTTGAAATAATCCATCACTTGATTTATTTTCCAGTCTAATATACATTGCAGAGGAGCACAGCCAAATATGAATGGGGAAAAGCCCCCCTGGCTTTTGGTCGTTGGTGCAGAAATGCCCTTTTCAAATAGCGAATCATAACTTTTTCCCTGACACATATGTCATGGGGCTGAAGAAATGCCCTATCATAGTTGCTGCAAGTAATGGAGCCATTTTTAGCTTTAGCATTAAACAGCAAACATGCAGATACACTGTGAACCTACTCTGACAGCACCAACGTCAGTTTCTTGATTAGTCAATTAGCCAAATTACTGTCTGGATGATACATAATTTGTTCAAGCCAAATAATACAAATGTATAATTTATAATAAAAATAATCCAGACAAGTATTATTATTTTAGTTTTTTTTTCATCCAAACGATTAAATGGTGTGAATGCTGTAACTACAACTCTAACAACTACATTTTAAACCAACCAACGCAATCTTGTTGAATTTAGTGATTATGAATTGTGTGTTGTGTTAACCAAGTTTTGTCAGTGTCTTGATGCTCACCCTGCTCCTTCAACCTTTACCCGCTCTCATAGCTATTGCATACCCTGATCCTTCACCAATTGTTAGTAGAGAACATTTGCAGTAATAATGAGGATAATTGTTAGTCACAAACTTATTTGCAATTATCCACAGTTCATAGCGAAAGAAGAAAATGTATATCAGTTCAGTCACAGACAATGAAGCTAATTCTGAAGCGATACAAACCCTTTCATTTGTCCTTTGTTTGGATATGTTGTTCCCAATGGTATCATTATGAAGCCCTGGGAGACAAGCAAAAGATAAAGACGGAAATATTTTATTCATTTTCTGTTGGGTTTGTGACTTGAAAACAAGTGAAAAGGCAAACATTCTGCTGAGATATAAAGTTCCTTGAAAGCTTTTCGACATTGGAAAAGTTTTCTTTTGTATGTTGTCGTAACAGTAGAGAGGCTGAGACAGATGGAAAATATATAAATATAATAACAATTCTCCTGGCAAAACTTTTTTCCCCACCTGTTTCACATATTCAAATTAAACAAACTCTGGAAGAAAATGCTGGCAACTCCTTTTTAAACCTGTTTTTAAGCCATAAACACAGGAGAGAAAACATTAAGACGGTCTTATAAAATCTGCTTTCATTTTCCCCACATTAGGTGCCAAACCTTCTAAGCAGTGGCTATCAAACTACGATGCACTTTTGAATTGCTCAACATGAATTAATAATGTTTTTTACACAATACGGGTTTAATAATCACAGGTGCACAATATGAGTGATACACCTTTGTGAGTCAAGGTCAAAGAATGAAAGCCTGTTTTTGGCTGTTGTTGGACCTTTTTGGAGGTCAAAGAGAGCCTATTGTTGCTATTATTAAGAGAAGAGCTTTCCAGTGCATTAGCAGCGGGCTGTCTCCTCTCATCAGGATAAGGCTGTGGCCACAGCAGGCGCGCCTCAGACTGGAGGAAGAAATTACAAAGAAATGAAAACAAAGTGGGCTGCATTTACAGAATTAACTGTCAATCTAGATCTCAAACAGACCTAAAAAAGGGATATAGCAGTGACATGAAATAATCCATGACAGGGAGCTTTTCTGAGCATCCCTGTTACACAAAACCTGCAACTGTGATTACTGAAGGAAACCATGTTACTGTGCCTTGAGTGGTCATCCTGAGGAGAGTTAGAGAGTAACAAGGACACAATAAGCGCTAACAAAGAAGAGTGCAGCGCTGCAGGCTGCTGGAGATGCTTATGTACCTGCCATGATGTTTCCCCTATGCTGTTTCCCCTATGCAACATATGTTCAGAGAGATAACTGGCAGACCACAGAACAGTACAACTATTAGATTACTTTGGGACAGCACAGCTCCAGTGGTGCCATTAATTTTGCCTGCACCCACCTCAAGATGTTTCCATGCCAACTACCTGCTGCCTTTTAATTGTTGCTGTTTTGGGGTTTTATTGTGTGAAAAGCACTTCAACATTGCTTTTTCAAAAGTATTATACAAATAAAGGTTATTATTATTATTTGGTGTGGAATATGATATCTGACAGGCGAAGTGTGGCACAAATCATTTTAAACGTACCAAAGTGTATGATCATATTAAAAAGGAGTATACACAATGGTGCTTCAAATTGGACATTAGTCTAACATAAAAAAAAAAAAACACAGTATCACACCTCCTTTATCTTCATTAAAAACGCTCCGTCCCTCCAGATGTTGAGATTGTGCTTGGCATTTGGAAGAGCTGAAATCTTAATGAGCCGCCTTTCTATACACAATATCTTCTTTAATTCATTTGCAAGTTGAACACAGGCAAAAAGTAAGGCAGAAGTTGTGAAGAGTGCCTGTCAAAAAAAACATTTAGGCAATTTATAAGGGAATGGCAGCAGTGCGAAATGGAATGTGTCCACAGTATTAAAGTCACTGCCCTCCCTGTGATTCATATGTTGAATGGAAGGTTGTAAAGTGACCGAGGTGCAGCCCTGGCAGGTGCAATTTTGTTGTGGTTGATTGTGAGGCGGGCAATCAATTTTCCTCTGCACCAAAAATCCTGTAACACAACAACTTGCAGCATTGCTGTTTGATGCAGCCTGCTAACCGCCTTAGTGCGGCAGCCGCTTGGTGCTACATAATTCTCCTGAGATGATAAGCAGTGGGGGTCAATTACACAGCCACAGGATTTAGACCGATCTGTCTCAATATATTTAGTTGTGATTATGATTCATTTTGTGAGAAATTGCAATGACGCTCCACCATGAGATTGTGAAGAAATGCGGTTTATTCTGTATTTAAAAAAGGGATCTGTATGGGAAAATACTGGTGTTTATTGTTTGACCATAATAGCAATTCTTAAGACAGCTAAAGTGGTGTATTTTTTCTTCATTGGGTCAAGGTCTTGGAAAAAGAGAAAGCTTCCCCGCCTCACTGGGGAGTTAGAGAAAACAAACCAATGGCACTGAAATATTTAGGAATCCCCCCAGTATGTGCTGCTCTACAGAATGCAAGGAGGTGTCAGTTTGTATTCATATAAAGAAGAATACATATCACCCAATTTCCAACAGGTCGTTCCACATGTGTCTCCGTCACTGCTCATTTTTCAACAACTTTTAACATCTTGTAGAGACAGACAGAAGGTTGATCTTTGTTTTATTTTTCTCACATGGCCCACACGTGGCAGGAAACTGGCATTTCCCAGTGGAATGTGTTATACAAGACAGCCAGCATTGACTTGATAGCACCAGATAGCTCAGTTGGCCTGCTTTCCTCTCAAAGGAGAGTTGTGGTCTGCATATAGAGCTGATGGAAAATGTCTTTACTTTGACGTTAAATGATTAATTTACACTATGCACATCAAAGACTGATCAGTATGTATTTTCTGCACATTTCAATGAAACGTAGCCATGATCAGTAACCCTAGTAACCACCTTCCTCTCTAACACTTGCAATTAATGGGACGAATGGTGGACCAAGTGTTTGTTGGGAAAAGCTAAATTGTTGCCAAGAACCTGAGTAAGTGGTTGGTCATAATCTGCCATGTGTCATTGTATCTGGACTAATATTGAACAAGGCTTCTGTGGATCAATAGCACCTTGCTGTCCTCGTGCCGCGCTACCTCAGAATTCAATTGTCACCTCTTGCTATAGGGGCAAGGGTTGCAACCGACAAGCACTATTTTGGGGTGTGACATCCACCGTCTTATTCGCTGTGACAACGTTAGCGTAAATCCTGAATCATATTTCGACACAGAAGAACACGAAAAGCGAGGCGCTAAAA